GAATATGAGTGTCAACTGAACAGGATGCTCAATTAAAGCAAACCCATGCCATCGCCATAAAAAGGTCATTGGTATACCTCACCAAACAGATCCAGCAAGTGATACAGTTTGAAACATGAATAGAAGTAAAAGAACATTTGCCAAAATATACAACTTTAAGCTATCTGCTGCACAATTTATACATAATGGTTATGGAAACTTGACGGTGATACAATCCATTCTTTCTTGCAGATAATCCTAGGTTCTACGGCTGGATGAAACAGGACCACCAGAAAGCTGTCCACAGACCAGTGTTTTGGCCCCTGGAAACCTGTGCCCTGTTTACCTTGAGGAGTAATTACAGGCAGCAGGTTGATTTCCAGTAGTCACTCAAAATTTATTTACTGTATTAGGAAGATCAGAAAAGTATTTTTAAAGCCAAGAACTCTTGAAGTCTCAGGAGGAATTACCATGATGATTTCTTTAACGGTCAATACCAATCATGTAAAAAGAGAATGTCTGTATCTTTGCTGAGACCATCAGAAAGATTAGACAATCTGTCACAATTAGGGTCACCATGAGTCGGTGACAACTTGGTGGCAACTGGTTTTGGTTTAGTGAACATACAGTGATGTCGCATTGTAGTTTTAATTTGCTTTTCCCTGATAACTAATAACACCGAATACTTTATATATTTTTTGGCATACAAACATACATACATATATACGTATATATGTGTGTGTGTGTATGTATACATACATATAGGGAGCTGTGGTAGCATAGTGCCTTAGGCCCTTGACTGCTAACCAGAGGCTGGCAGTTCAAACCTACCAGCTACTCCTCAGAAGGAAGGTTGGGCAATCTACTTCTGTAATGATACCACCTCAGAAACCCAAGGAGGGGTTGCTATGAGCCAGGTCCAACTCGACGGCACATAACAACAACATACATACATATAAATAACATTGAATACTTTATATATTCTTTGGTATACATATATTAAAAAAAAAAAACCTCACTGCCATTGAGTCAGTCCTGACTTGTTGCAACCCCTCCTTGGGTTTCCGAGGCAGAATCTCTATGGAAGTAGATTGCCTCTGGTGTGTGTGTGTGTGTATACATGTATATGTACACATGTACATGTGTATATATGTATACATGTGTGCATGTATACGCACATGTATGCATATGTATGTGTGTATACACATGCACAGCAAATATATAAATACATATGTATACATGTCTATATACATATACACATACAATTATATACAGGCATACTTATATACATACATGTATATATGTGTATATATACATATATACACCAAAAACATACATTCAATGCTATATGTACGTGTATGTACACATCTATATGTATACATACATATATACATACACACACATATATAGACACATATACATATGTGAGCTCTGGTGGTATAGTGCCTAACGCATTTGACTGCTAACCAGAAGGCTGAGGGTCCAAACCCACCAGCCACTCCTCAGAAGGAAGATTGGCAATCTCCTTACGAAGAGATATCGCCTCAGAAACCCAAGGAGGGGTTGCTATGAGTCAGGATCAACCGCACAGCAATGAGTTTCATATATATATACATATATATATATATATATGTAGGTATGCATGTGTGTATGTATGCATATATGTATGTATGTATATACATATATGCATACATACATATACACATACACAAGGAGCTGTGGTAGCACAGTGCCTAAGGCATTTGACTGCTAACCAGAAGACTGGTGGTTCAAACCCACCAGCCACTCCACAGAATGAAGCCTGAACAATTTACTTCCACAAAGATTTACTGCCTTGGAAACCCAACGTGAATCACTGAGTTGGAATCTACTCAATGACAGTGGGTTTGGTTTATATATAAATACACACACACACACACACACACATATCTTTATTCATGCAGTGTGTTTGAATTTTTGTCCATTATTTAATCATTTTTTATAAGTTTTATGTATTTCTTATAAATTCTGGACAGGAATTGTTTGTCAATTATATGTTCTACAAATATTCCTCTCTGTTTCAGAACTGCATATTCATTTTCTCAATGCTGTTATTTGATGAGCAGAAATATTTAAATGTCATGAAGTTAAATTTATCATATTTTTCATTTACAGTATTACTTTCGGTGACCTAAGAAATTGTTGACTACTTCTAGGTCACAAATATATTTTCCTACATTTTCTTAAAAGCTTTACAGTGTGATAATGATCATGTCTGACTTTGACTAGTTTTTCCCTCTCCAGAAAACCACAGAAGAGTACAGTATCGAGGAACTTGGAGATCTCGTAGGAAGAATTTTGTAAAAACGTCTACTGTAAAAGAATTAAATATAAAATTTTTGAAAATGAAAAAAAAAGATTATACAAATTTGCTGTAATATCATTGAATCTAAATATTTTTGCATACCACTTTGTCCTGATACTGATGAACTCCTGTGTACATCCCCCTGTGTTGATTTTCATAAATTTTTACATTTCCATTCTGACCTATTGACCCTTAAAAACCTCATGTAAGACACTGTTAACAGGTAAGGAATAAAGTTGTATATTTTGGCAAATGTTCTTTTACTTCTATTCATGTTTCAAACTGTATCACTTGCTGGATCTGTTTGGTGAGGTATACCAATGACCTTTTTATGGCGATGGCATGGGTTTGCTTTAATTGAGCATCCTGTTCAGTTGACACTCATATTCTTTCTCTCTTATAATTGGTTTCTGGTCTGTTCCTCCCTCTGTGATGACTCACCAGAGATCTGTTCATTTTCTGCTGCTCTAGGAAAGGTAGAGACTATGAAAGTGGACCTGGAGGAAAAGAAAAAAAAGAATGACGTCACAAGACCACTGACCTGCCTTGCTGCACCTCCTGGATTCTCTTGCCTAAAAAGCTCCCCACACCAGCTGGATAAAACATCCTCCTAAAGGAAAACGTCATTTGCCCTATGACTACCTTGGTATGTAGTTTCTCAATCTCTTGATAAAATTGGTTTAACTACGTCAGCAAACCAGACTGTATCTTAGGCCACTGACAACTTGATGATCTGGACATTCACCCTCTAGGGCTCAATGTTTTTCATCTTTCATACAGAAATAGGTAACCCAGGAAACTCTTTCCTATACTGCCTTCTCAAGTCTGTAAGTCAAGACAGAGCAAGTGCCACCGACATCTCTCAGTGCTACATGTGGTGAGGGGCATGGGGTAAGGGACCCTCAGAATCTGGAAAAAGTAGAGAATCTGAAAGGAGTCAAGGGCCATTAGAGAGGTTTGAGAAAGAATTTCCGTAGAGACAGGTGCCATTTCTTTACACCAGATAAGCTTTCTCAAACCGTTAAACTCCTAGCAAGATTTGTCCCTTGTCTTTAACCTCATCTCACCATTCTGTTCTGAAACTTGGCTCAAATCTCTCATTGTCTTACAGGTTGATGTGGCTTCTGGATGCGAGTACAAGGATCAGAGATTGGGTCCAGCCACACAAGTCTGACTAAGATCTGCTCTCTCTCAGCTTCTCCCTCCTCTGCTATGGTGCACACTCTTAGTTCAGATGGGCCATCTTCCAGGTGGATTACTGCTCCTGATGTTCTCTTATTTCCTCACAAAACTGCTTTGCTCCTAGAAACCAAAACTTGGATCTAGGCAAAATTGTTATAGTTGGAACCTACATCAGGGCCCCAAATCTTGCAACTCACTGGGCTCCCAGAAACTGGGGTTGGTTCTTCCAAAAACTCAGATCAGGGTCACTGAGGACGTACAGGCAGGGCAGTTCAGAGTAGGCCCAGACCTCTCAATTACAAAGCGTGACCCAAGAGCCCTAACAGACACCAAGAATCATAGAAATACAAGTGCGACATGATAAAATGAAGTCCACGTTATGCTGTGAAGGATATATTGCTGGGTTTAGGCAGCAGTTTTTTAGAAAGAGCATGAAATAGGGAGTAGACATCTGAACATGAGTCCTAGCTGATCTCCTGTGAGCTGTGTGGTCATGAGAAACTCACTCCACCTCTCTGATCTCCTTTTTCTCATTTGTTAAAATGGGGCTACCCGGCTTCACCAAGTGACCGATGCAATCTTTGCTAGAGTACACAACGTCTTTCAGAACAAGAGCGGAAAATATTAACGGGGCTTACTAACGCAGCGCCATCTCCCTACATGTAGAAGGCGCCAGGCCAGGACATACACGCCGGAGGATTGGACCCACGCAGTTCCGGGAACAACCCGCCGCGTCCGCTAGAGCGCGCTGAGATCCAAAAGCGGTGGCCAGCCCGCCCTCATACAAGCTTGGCTTGCCTTTTCGCCAGATCTGCAGCGCCAACATTCCCCCAAGCCTGGCCAGTAAGAAAGCACTGTGCGAAGGGTCGCATGCGCAGGAGACCCCGACCCCAGTTCCCGCTGGCGCATGGCGAACATCAAGAGGGCCCGTTTCCCGTCAGCCGCCGCGGCGGAAGCCTACGCCTCTCTACGCCCGCTCTAGCGGGCGGTGAAACCGGAGCTACTTTTTTCAGATCCGGCAGGAGATGTAGTCAGGCCATTTCATTTGTGAGCACAGTGGAGAATCCCTGTAAAACCTTAGATGGAACCGGCAGTTTAAATACGTATTTGAAAAAAACAAACACCCGTGGCAACAGGACTTCTTCAAGGCAAAGCTTAGTGCTGGGATTTTATTTCCTAAATGGAAAGAAGTAGGTTTGCAATCAAATGTCAACAAGATTTTGTGTGTATTTTTGCACATTGCTTTATTTTCTACCATTTTTATATAATTTAATTGTAAGTTTATATCATTAAATTTTATCAATGGCTGCGTTTGTTTAACAACCAGCAAAATTCCCAAAAAGTCATCAATTGGCCCTTAGTATTCGTTAAAGCACCAAAAAAAAATTGATGAGGAGTCGATGCCCCGATTCTCGGAGCCTTGTGGGTGGACTGGAGCCACCATAGTTTGGGTTTGTGCCACCCAAAGATTTCAGTTTTAACACACACCCTCTTTTCCAAAAATTGTAAATGGTTATTTTTACTTTATTATTTTTGAAATAATTCACAGGAAGTTGTATAATACAAAGAAGTCCCGTTTACCCTTACCCAGTTTCCCTCATTGTTTACATTTTACATAACTATAGTACCTAAGGCACTTGACTGCTAACCAGAAGAAGTCTGGCGGTTCAAACCCACCAGCCACTCCTGGGAAGGAAGGTTGGGCAATCTACTTTCGTAGTGATACCGCCTCGGAAACCCAAGGAGTGGTTGCTGAGTTGGATCTGACTGAGGGCACATAACAACAACATAGTACAATAAGGAGCTCTGCTGGTGCAGTGGGAAAGCATTTGGCTGCTAACAAAGGTCAGCAGGTTAAACCCCCTTGCTGTTCCATGGGAGGCAGATGGAGCAATCTACTTCTGTAAAGATTTACACCCTTGGAAACCCTATGGGGGTCGCTATGATTCTGAATTGACTCCATGGCTGTGGGTTTGGTTCTTGGTTTATAGTACAATAGGTCTGCTGGCATAGTGGTTAAAGCATTTGGCTGTGCAACAAAAGGTCAGGGGCTTAAAACCCACTAGCCATTCAGCTGGAGAAAGATGATAAAGTCTGCTTCAGTGAAGATTTACATACAGCCCTGGAAATCCTATGGAGTACTTTTACTCTATCCTAAGGTGTTGCTATGAGTCAGAATAAACTCCATGGCAGTGGGTTTGAGTTATTTTTTGTTTGTTTATAGTACAATAAAAAGAGCCCTGGTAGGGCAGTGAAGCCCTCAGCTGCTGACTTTGGAACTCACAAACCTACTCCAGGAGAAAGTTGTGGCAATCTTCTTCCTTAAAGATTTACACTCTTGGAAACGCTATGAGGTGATTCTACCGTGTCGTATAGGGTCTCTGTGAGTAGGAATTGACTTGATAGCAATGGCTTTGGTTTGGTTTTTACTCAACCAGATTCCTTTGAGATCCATCCAAGTTGTTTCATTTATCAGTTTATTGAATGATTCACCTATTATAGAGAAACATTTTGGCTGTTCCCAGTTTTAGGCTATTACAAATAAAGCTCCTATTAACAGTCATGTACATGATTTTGTGTGAACTTAAGTTTTCATTTCCTAGGAAAACACTGAGTCAAATGTTAATTTCATACAGTTTGGCAGTGACTTGTTTACAACAAACTGCTAAGCTACTTTCCAATGACTATAGCTCTGATGGCTTAGTGCCTAAGGCATTTGGCTACTAACCAGAAAGCTAGCGGTTCAAACCCATTCAGCCACTCCTGGGAAGGAAGATTAGACAATCTACTTTAGAGATATCACCTCGGAAACCCAAGGAGGGGTTGCTATGAGTCAGAAAATAGTTCGTAGGCAGTGAGTATTTTTTTTTTGTACCATTTTACATTCTCACCAGCGTGTATGAGATCCAGTTTCTCCACTGACAAATGGATAAACAAAATGTGATCTAACCATACAATATAATATTTTCAGATATAAAAAGTAACGAAGTACTGACACATATTACAACATGGATAGATCTTGAAAATATGTGGGAAAAGAAAACAGACATAAAAGGCCACATATTATATGATTCCATTTATATGAAATGTCCAGAATAAGCAAATCCACAGAGACCAAAAGCAAATGAGTAGTTGCCAGGAACTGGGAGGATAGAGCAGTGAGAATAACTACTTAATATGTATGGGGTCCTTCTTGGGGTGATAAAATTGATCCGGGATTAGATGGGTGAACAACACTGTGAGTGTACTTAAAGCCCTGATTTGTACGCTTTGAGGTGGTTAAAAATGGAAATTTCATGTTATGTGAATTTTACCTGAATAAAAATACAAATCAAACAAGTGTGAGGGGCATCGAGTTTTGAGAATGACAAGTGGATTTGTGTGAAAGTTTGAAGGTGTTAAAAGATGAAGAGTATGTAGGCGGGACTAAAATCATAAAGGGCCTCTTCTGCCCTTTACTCAGTGTGGGCTTTACTCAAAAAATAAGGGAGATATTTATTAAATTTTAGGCAGATGAATAGCAATGTTACTGGACCTGATTCTAGAAGTTCAGAGGAGAAGACAGAAGGACTATGAAAGAAGTTGTTGCAGTAACATAGAAGTGAAATTACTAGAATCACAACAAAAGGAGGAAGTAAAAATAGATAAAAATCAAGAACAATTTTAGTAGGCAAAAATCATGGGATTCTGAGGCCCCATAAGTGTAAGGTTCATTTTCTTCTTGTTCCCAGAATTTAGCAATCAATCTGGTTCACAAAAAAGAATGTGCCTAAGACATGGCCTTGACAGGCATATTTAAATGTTACGTGAGAATGTTTGCATTTGAGAAAAAATTTTGCCCTTTCACGTGGAAGATGAGCAAGCACAGGAAGTTTTAGTTTTTATCTAAAAGCCACTGCCATCCAGTCGATTCAAATTCATAACAATGCCCATTGGGTTTCCAACAGGGCAAATCTTTACAGAAGTAGATTGCCCCATCTTACTTCCACAGAGCAGCTGGTGGATCTGAACTACCATCCTTCTGGTTAGCACTCAGATGTACCACCAGAGCTCCTTAAAACATAGTATTAAGCTAAAATTCTTCTCTAAGTGGCATTCTTGCATTTGGACATCTGATTGAAACACTAGATATGGATAATTTAGAATAAAATGTCAGATATGACTATTTGGGGGCCTGTGAATAGGAAGCCTGGTGACACAATGGTCAAGCACTCATGTGGGCAGTTCGAACCCATCAGCCATTCCATGGGAGAAAGATATGGCAGTCAGCTTCCATAAAGATTACAGCCTTAGAAACCCTATGAGGCAGTTCTACTCTGACCTGTAGGGTCGCTATGAGTCAGAGTCAACTTGACAGCAATAGGTTTGGGTTTTTTGCTTTGGTGAAAAAAGGAGAATTACTAACCCTGACACAGTGACACTCTCCTTTTCTTTCCAAAGTACAAATCAGTGTGTGAAGTGTCCAGAAGATCACAATCCAAATAATGAGCAAGATCACTGCCTCCTGGCTTTTGAAGACCCTTTGAAGATGACATTGACCTAAATGGGTCTTTGCTTCTCTGTCCTCACAATTACAGGTTTGGGGGTCTCTGTGAAGCACCAAGACACTCTCACCAAAAAGAAACAAACCGAATCTAATGCCATCAGCTTGATTCTGACTCATAGCGACCCTCATAGGATTTCAAAGGCTATAAACATTTACAGAAGCAGATTGCCTCACTTTTTCCTCACAAAGCAGCTGGTGAGTTCAAACTACCGACCTTATCATTAGCAGACCAATGCCTTAATCACACCAACATCACAGCTCCTAATGACACTCCCACAGTCAAGGCCAATTACTGGACTTTTCATGTCCTGCTTATCTTCATCTTCCTGTGTTCCCTTTGCTCCTTATCCCAACAGAACTACTTGCATCCTACAACAAAGAACACTTGAAGTACTATTTTACTGTGGACATTTCTACCATTTTGACTAAAGCTATCACTATGATTCTGGCCTTGAAAACCACAACACCAGGGACAAAGGTGAGATAATATTTGGCATGGGAGAAGTGTAATTATCATTCCTACATGCTTCCTGATCCAACTCAGTCACTGTTCAGCATAGAGCTGTACTCATATCATCATTGAATATAATAAGAGCTCTATCACACCTTCTGGGAGCTCTGGGAGCGTAGTGCCTAAGGCACTTGACTGCTAACCAGAAGGCTGGTGGTTCAAACCCACCAGCCACTCCTCGGAAGGAAG